CTAGATATATTGGCAATGTATGAATAATAAAAGAAAACTCTTTACCTCTTAATACATAACTCAAGATTAGCCTTTACCAAGGCATCATGACTATCTAATTCTCTAGAAGAATTAACTAATCCGTAATTATCTTTTACGAGCATAGTTACCATACAATTCAGTTCTATTTTCAACTTATCATAATGTGATCTCGAACTTGGTTATTAGTTTATTTGATTGTGATCACATAAGTTTTTTTCAATTCCTAAATATCGTACCTCATCGAGTAAACCAATTATGCACTATTGGTGTACCCCTATTGTGGCTATAGATTTTTTGAGTAGATATTTATTAAAGTATAAAATGATAACTCTTTTAGAATACGAGGAAAAACGAGTCCTTTATGGGGTCATCAAAATGAGTGTCAAAGTACTTAAATCCTTTAATGAGATAACCATGATGACTTCAAGTCTAAAGACCTATTGTACTCATCTCGTATGAGATTTTCATGGATTAAACCAAATGGGTTCTTATGGTGAGTCAAGTCCAGTGATATGTTCTCAAATATTAATTACTTAAGTGCTTGCTTTTGTATCATCATGCCAATAGATGTGAGATCTCCTACTACTATCATATAGCTTGAGCATGGTGCTCACAAGTCTAACCACATATAGTCAATGTCCATTCTTGATAATGCAACGATTTGGGATATTTAATGACACCATTTATATGCATTAATGTTCCTCTCATATCTTTTGATCAATCATTAATGTAAATGCATATTATATGGAATTTTATCTAATTCTATTTAATAAATAAATATAAACAATAAGAATTAATAGAAAGACTTCTTTTATTATTAATAAAATAAATAATGTAATGATACAATAACTTAAACTCCGTCCAAACATGGTTAGATCTTGGGCACCTACACTAACGACTACATAAGCTTCAGTTTGATCCAGAGAAGGCTAAACTGGGAGAGGTGTCATTATTATGTAGAGAATCTTCTCATATTGGAGGACTATCCTCAAATTTATTTTCGAGTCAAGGAAGTTTATGCCATTAAAGGCATTATTTCTAATCATTATCAATCATATTGATGTATTGCCATTTATATTGTGTAACAACTTGATATGATAGAAAAGTATATGATCTAGTTAATTGAATTGCATTAACAAAACAAAGCATAAATTAAGAACTAAATCTATGTTGGCTCCCATTATTTTCTTTAAATTCTATAACGTTCAATATAGGATTCGAGTAAATTTTTTGGTTTATTTTTCTTAGTGGGTTAGGATCGCATCCTCTAACATGCATTAATCTCGAGTTATCTCAACAAGTCATACATGAAGGATTAGGTTGGTAACTCCTTACTAATTACATCCAATGTAATTCCTAATCTCATTGGCTTGACAACTCTTTATCATCTCACATCTTATATGAATACCAATCTTTGCCTACAAATTTGATGAGCCTTGAGTTATCTTAACAAGTCAAAAAGGACCAAGAGAGTTCTCTCCTTATAACATTGGAAGGCATGTAACTTTATATTTAATTAAAGGATTTAACATGATGTAGTCTCATCAATTTGGCCCTAGCATGCATACTAGAGTTTAATCGTATTAATCTTATAATGTATAGTATCAATGAAATAATCATATATAGGAGTTCAATCACATCAATCTCATACATGACTCAAGGATCGATAAATGTTAATGGATTTTCACTACTAATTACCTCGAGCAACAAGGAGACTAGTGGGTCAAATACCTAGGAAAAATGATTATAATTTCATCAAAATTATCTTTTCTTCTTGACTTATTATCCTTGTATCTATTCTAATAAGCTATCATCTATTTTTATAATTCTTAAATAAGAAACCTTGAGTTACATTCGTGGGGAGTAAGATGAGAAGAGGAATACATCGAATGATAAAGAGGTAGGACATATCCGCTCTATTTAACAAAAATATTTATAAGCATTCATTCTCAAAAACTAAGTTGGCTCATCTATACCATTCACTCATGCTTCAATCACATTAATACATGACATACAAGCAAATAAAACACATTTCATTTTCATCATAATTATAAATTTATGATTTTGGTCATTTTATAAAATATTAAAAAATTTCTAAAGTTTAATTTTTTAGACTTTTAGGCCTTGTGCCCACTTGGGCCCATGGGCCGTCATGCCTTAGTTGGCTAGTGCCTAGCATTGGGCTTAGCCGGCTAGTTGGCCAAAGCCCAAGACTCGGCCTAGCTGCCACAAGCCGGTGCCTAGCATTGGCTTGGAGCCAGCTGGCCTACCGCACACCCAATGCGAGCTCGCCCTATTGTTGGTGCATGCGCGAGTGCCAATGTCCAACATTGTCCTTGCATGTGCACTCTTTTTTAGCTAAAAAAAATCAATTTCAAAACTTTATGAAGTACCAAAAACCCTATATTTATAATTAGAAAATAATAATTCATATAGTTAATCATAATTAACATAATATACAATTAAAGATTCAATAAAAGCTTGTATACCAATTGAAGGATCATACATCTTGTAGAGGTGTAGAATGAACAAAATTTTCCTCCATTTAGGGTTCCCAAGATCATGCAATTAAATCAACTAATACTATATAAACATGAATATAAATATAAGTGAATGATTACCTCTTGTAGCATAGAAATAATTCAAGCGAAAAGGGAACCATGCAAGTGTCCAACCTCTATTGATTAGCCACGCAACTCAAGCCCCTACACGAGAAGCAACGAAATCCTAGAGTGTTAGCTCCAATCTTTTTGTGTAGGTTAATTTTTCTAGAAATCTTATAAGGTAATTTGTGCCAACCTTAGAAATAGAGGAAGAGGTGGCGGCTTTTGGGGAGAGAAAACTCTTTTTTTTTCTTTCTTTTTTTTTAATGTGTTCTTGCCCTTTTTTTTAGTTTGTTGTCGCCTCTCTCTTTCTTTTCTATATAAAAGGGAGGCATCCTTGTCCTCCAAGGAAAAAAATTGCAATATATGTGGGCTTTGTCTAACTTTATCCTTATAAGTCTTAAGTTTATCATTCCATTAAAATGTCTTCTGGCTTTTATCATTCCATTAAAATGTCTTGTGGCTTTTAAATTAAACCTATTAGCCAAAACTTTTTTGGACTAATTAATTCAAACCATCCAAATAAATTTTATCAAATATTTTTAGGAGGCCCACATTAGGAAAAAATTTCTTAAATTATCCTTAAACCTAAATTAGAAAAATAATTTCTTTTAGGTAATTATCTTCCAAATTTGGAACCGACTTCCAAATTAGGAAATTAATTTTTAAAATAGGAAGCCTTCCATTTCAAAAAAACATTTTTCAAAATAGGAAACATTCCAAAATATGAAAAATTTTCCTAAACAAGAAACTTTTTATTTTCAAAAACTTTTCCAAAATAGGAAACTTTCAAAACAAGAAACCTTTTCAAAAATCTTTACTTCGTTTTATTACGTGAATGTTTAAACTTATTCATGTAACTCCATAGGCTTCTAGATATGTTGACAATATATAAAAAAGATAGAAGACACCTCTTTTATCTTTTAAAACATAAATCAAGATTAACCTCTAGCAAGGCATCATGACCACCTAATTCTTTATTGGGATTAATTAATCCATAATTACTTTTCTGGAGCATGGTTATAATAAAATTCAATCCTCGTGTTAATTTATCATAGTGTGATATCAAACTTAGTTTATAATCTATTCGATTATGATCACACAAGTTTTCTTCGATCCCAAATGTCTTAGCTCTAAATTAAACTACCATGCTATATTATTATACTCCTACCGTAGTCACAGATTTCTTAAGCAAACATTCATCAATGTGTAATATGATAACTCTTTTAACATATAAAGAATGACATGTGCTATCTTAATTATCCACATATCTCCATTAGATTCTTAGCGTACCCAACGAATAACTCCCATACGGCTTTTCACTAAGCCCATCAAAACGAATGTCAATGTACACAAATACTCTAATGAGATCATCGTGACGAATTCAAGTCAACGGACTAGTTGTACCAATCTCATATGAGATTCCTATAGACTAAACCAAATAGGTTCCTATAACAAGTTACGTCTAGTGATATGTTCTCTAACATTAATCACCTAAGTGCTTACTTTAGACTAAACCAAATGGGTTTTCATAGCGAGTCATGAAAATAAGTGTGAGATCTTCTATCTCATAGCAAGATCATGGCACTCATAAGTCTTGCCACATATAATCAATGTCCATTCTTGACAATGCTACGAATTGAGACATTTAATGATATCCTTTAAGTGCATTAATATTGTTCTCGCATCTTTCAATTAATCATTAATGCAATGCATATCATATGGACTTCTATCTAATTTTATCAAATTGTAAACAATAAGAATTAATAAAAGACTTCTTTTATTATTATAAAAATACAATATTTCGATAAATCAAACCATCTAAATAGGTTAGATCTTAGGCACCAACACCGATATATATAAGAAAAAGGATCCTATTTGTATATGTATAAAACTAAAGTTTTACATAGTTTTCTTACCCAAATTTCCTTTTGATCTTATAGTTAGCATCACTAAATATCTTACTTTTTATACTTCTTTTATTCTAATTACCTATATTTTTTATTAATTATTATCTAGTATTTCTCTATCCTCAAAATATTTTCATTCCTTATTTTCTTGATCACCTTTCTCTAAATTATTTTCAATCATTAAACACATATAACACCCATTCAATAAACAACGGTATGGACAAAACCTATATACAAATCCACTAACAAACTGAAAACTTAAAAACATGCAAAAAGTTTTAAGTTTTTGAGATTGCTTACCTAATTTAAACCTTTAAAAAAAATGATGAAAAAGACAGAGAGGATAGACGGAATCAAAAGGCACGAATATCGTTCTTCACTAATTAAAGAGAATGAAAAATTAAGGTTTTTTAGATTAAAATTAATTCGAACCTTCGGGAATTTTTTTTTATTGATAACAAATAAGATGAAGTGAATAACAAAGATGAAGCGAATGGCGGAACATGTAGAAATGAAAAAGATGAAGCAAACGATAGCGAATTTAGTTTTTTAATTGAAAGGTTTCAAATTTTTTTTTTTATTTAGTTCAAGGTTAATAGGAAAATGTTGTATTTTTCTTTTTTTAAAAACCTTAATATTTTTTAAATATTAAAATAATTTATAAGGTTTTTTTTTTTAATTCTCGATTTTTATTGCGACACTTGGGTTCCACATAGACTCGTGTTAACTTATGATTGGTTGGTGTTTGTTTTAAATTTCCACATAAGATGACTACTTAACGGTGCTATAACAAAGGGTTTGAATCAATACATTTGTAAGAGTATAGTGCTTCAATGAAATTAAAAAATTATAAAGGATCTCAATTAAAAAAAAAATTCAATATGTACATGATCTAAGTGTGGGGTAAACCCTATATATGATCTCAATCATTTGATTTTGAAAGAAAGATAATGTTAGAATATGTTGTATGTAAATAAATTTTAGCATATTAAATTTAATTGTTTACATTGAGTTTGTGGATGTCATTTTCTCAACTTTGTATATTAAATAGTTATTATTTTTTATTCAATATAGAATGGGATTATCCAATATTTGGTTCCTATATTGTTCGATTTTTTTTTATTGAGATCCTCTACTCTTTTTTTTTTTTTTTTTTTGCTTGATTAATTTTTCATATAAAATTTTTTTATTGATAAATATGATTAATTCTTTTTCTAAATTTGAATTTTAATCAAAATTTAAAATATGGTTTCTTTTTCTTTTTAATATATATATATATTGAATCATCGATTTTATTAAAAATTAATTATATATCTTCACACATAGCACCAACTTGTTTGCTATGAATAATTATAAAATAATTAAAATAATTTTTTAAAGATACCAACCAACTATTCAAATACAGCTTTTTAGACTAACATTATTGATTATTTTGTAAATAAATATATATAAATCAAATATATTTATTTTCAAAAAATAATCTTCTCATTAGTATTAAATAAGAATTTTTTTTTATTACTTAGTTTTGAAACAAGTCTATACATTAATTGTAACTTTATTTTTTGGATACATTCTTATGAAAAATATATTTTTTAAAACATTTTTTTAATTCTTGATTAATATGATAGTTTAAATTATTATAGGTTTTTATTTAATAATCAATGCATGAAAAAGAATAAATCATGTATTTTTTTAATTAGAAAAATTATGAAAAACATAAAAAAAAATTTATTACACATAAAAGTTTAATAAACAAATTATAAAATGATTTTGTTTTAGGTGACCCACATTGTATCGTGGGTAACCGGTTAGTTTAATAAACAAATAACTCGGTTTGTTTTAGGTGAACACAATGCGTGGAAAAGAATAGATCATGTGTTTTATTTTATAAGTAGAAAATTTATGGAAAAAAAAATTTAATTACACAGAAAAAGTTTATTAAACAAATTATAAAAGTATAAAATGATTTTATTAACCCATAGTGTAGCATGGGTAACTGGTTAGTTTAGACTATAATAATTTGATTCAAATTTTTTTAGATTTGAAAGAAAATATTTTGTTTATCCCATTTCCGATCCCAAACTAATGGACACCAAGCTTGTGTAATAAATTACATACGGTGGATAGCTACAATTTCCCTTAAAAAAGAGAACTTGAGCACTATGAATTTTTGAAGTAGCGAAGAGTTGACAAGATCCATAGACGGCATTGTGCAGCTACATGAAATAGCACAAAAGCTCGAGGAGATCTGGCATCGATGGTGGCAAGCATTAAATATCAGTGACAACTATATTTAAACCTCGTAATATAAAATAACAAAGCTTGCATTTTAGACTTTGTGGTAAAAACAAAGCAAGCATCCTTTGAGACTTCTTCTAGCAATGGGTTTGAAATACCAAGCTTGCAAGACCTCCTCCTCTTCTAATCTCTTTTCTGTTAGAGGTTCAACCATTCTCACTTTAGCACTTCTCTCTACATCATGTTTTCTTTGCATTTCTATGCTAAAATATGCACACGAACCATTAGTTTTTGCAGGGCAAGACTCATTTAATGGTGACCTCCGAGATGTTAAATTTGCGTGGAACAAGCTTTGCTTTGGACCGACCTTTGAGAAGCTCAAACTTGCAGTTTTCTCTAAGACATGGCCAATTGGTGCAGGCCCTGGGGGTATGGAACGCCATGCTTCCACTATATACCATGCTCTTGCTGCTAGGGATCATGAGATTCATGTGTTTACTGTTCCATCAGATAGGAAGCCTCACCTTGATATCCATGAACGTAATCTTCATGTGTACTTTGCTGCCAATGATCATGGTTCAGTCAATTGCTCTCTCGCATTTGAGATATTCAATAAGATAAATGCAAATGGGGAATTTGATTATGTGCATCCTGAGAGTGTTTCCTTGCCACATTGGAGGGCTAAAATGGTGCCTAATGTGGCAGTAACATGGCATGGGATTTGGTACGAAATTATGCACTCAAATAATTTGAAGAGCTATTTGCAAATCAAGATGGGGCTTTGCCAGGCCCTAGCCCCTATGACAGAGCTTCAAGAAGCAATGCCACGGCTTATTGAAGAGATCAGATTCTTCTCATTCGACAAACAACATATATGTATAAGCAATAGTGCCGGTGAGGCATTAGTTAACGTCTACCAGCTCCCCAAGAGAAATGTTCATGTCATACTAAATGGGGTGGACCACACAAAATTTGTGCACGATCCAGAAGCTGGTGCAAGGTTTAGAAGACGATACGGTTTACCTGACAATGGAAGCCTTGCTTGTGGCAGGATCAGGCCCTTGGGAAAAAAGGTATGCTGAATTAGGAGCTAATGCCAAGACCTTGGGTGCCTTGGATTCCTATTCTACAATGCAATTGATGTGTTTGTCACTCCCACGTTAAGACCTCAAGGGCTTGATCTTACACTAATTGAAGCAATGAATTGTGTGGGAAGCCAGTTTTGACCCTCAATTATCCGAGCATAGTTGGGACAGCGGTTGTGAAGGAAGAATTCGGGTACACATTTTCGCCGAATGTGAAATCCTTTGTTGACGCCTTGGAGTTGACAATAAGAGATGGACCTAAAGTAATGCAGAAGAGAGGCATGGCCTGCAAGGAGTATGCTCTCACTATGTATACTGCAACTAAAATGGCCTCAAGCTATGAGAGGCCATTTTCCAGAGATTGTTAAATTTTCTGTTCTTGAAAATTGCAAGTCATATTGGGAAGATAAACTTATGTAATATTGAATTTTAGAATCTATTCTACATAGCTTAATTATACTCAACCTTTCAGGAAATAGGTGGTATGTACTTTGGCTTTGGGTTTACTAGTGTACTGGGCTCATTTACCACTCACTGAATTCCACGGATGCCTGCTTGTGTTTGATGAACTTAACAGGTCATGCATGGGGGGGCCAATTGTTTGCTGCTTGATGACAAAAAGGGTATCTATTGATCTGTTAATATTGGTCTGACTACTGATTGTGAAATGGTTTTAAGATGACAGTCATTGTTTCTGTGGCAAAGCAATGTACCTAGAGAAGCAGAGTTACTACTGTGTCAGCTGCTGCAAAATAAATCATCCGCAAGCACAAAGGAAAGTTGTCGGGGCATGCAATGATCGATGTACAATAACTTTAGTTAGACAATCTCAGAGATGTATACCGTGGAGTCTTGATCAATTAGTTACAGAACCAATAATTGGAGCCATGCATAGCATAGCTGGACGTTAATCGAGGATAAAGGATTTTTTTAGAGCATGAATAAAGGATTTGATCACATAAATTTTTCTTTATAATGAGTACAAGTATGGCTGGGAAGAAGCATGTGACTTTTTATGTTACCACAACCGAAGGCTGGTTTATTCTACCTCTGGATGAACAACCATTTACGTATTCCTTCCCCACAACTTTTAAGAGCTTCTACCTCGATCTAATAAAAATCGTAATCCTTAAATCCTATTTGATTTCATGTTCTTCTAATCTTGAACACTAGTCCCTTTTTTTTTTTTTTAGCGTTGTTATTAGCTTCCTTTGCAAAAACACATTAAAATTTGAATACATATATATATTAAGAAAAAAGAATATGTTCTTTCAAAATTTAAGGGGCTTTTTAGCTGTCGAGAATAGTTTTTCATTTTTTTTTTTAATTTTCCATTTTCTTTTCCATTTCCAACTTTCATTTTCTGTGAAGAATATAGAGAAAATACGTCTTTGGACTCATCCTTATTTAGTGTCACGAAAGATAACTAATTTTTATTAGAAGCAATTCATCATAGTTCATTTGTCTTATGTTTTCTGAAAAATAGTTATATTTTCATGCAATGAAAGTCTGTACATGTCAAAATTGATCAGATTCTCAAAGAATCCACTTTTAGTGATTTTGTTGGTAGTTAGTTAATTTAGGCAGAAATTATACAGGGTCCTAGAATTTCACATCATATGTGTCATGTGTAAATTTTTTTTTCAAGTGGGATAAAAAAAATCCTTCATCTTCTCCTTCATCCCCCGTCTCTCTCTCACTCTGGTGGTTTGCCGTCCAACTCCTCATTCCTCCGCCATCTCTCTCTCTATGGGTGGCTCCTTTCTCCACCGTCTCTCTCTCTTTGTGGGTATGAAGTTTCTTTATTTGAATTCATAAAGGATTAACATTCATCTCTAATCATTATCTTGTATCTATAGATCTTCCGCCATAAGTCAATTACTGAAATTTTTGCCACCAATGTCTTGGAGAAAGGGGAGAGGATTTGACTTGGATCATTTTGTTATTCAAGGGATTCTGATTTGTCAGTTTGTTCATTTTGATTTGGATAATTGTTGAGGTTTTTGGAGGCTTTGACAGTAAAGTATTCCAGAGAGATCGAAAATAGGGGAGAGATATTTTTTGATTTAAAAAAAAAAAGGGCAACTTGCTAATCTACCAAAATCCCTTGTATAAAATCTAAAAATTTCCCTCCTGCGCTCACCGTCTTGAGTGCTTGACCTTTGACGACCCATCGTTTAAAGCAAAATTTTATACCTGTCACCCATAACACATATTAAGGCCCATCATTCCGATGTTTTCCTTCTCTGCTTTTTGGTTGCTATTGCCAATTCCATCGATAGATAGCAAGAATTCACATGGCCGCCAGATGAGAGAGACGGAGGAGTAATGAAGAGTTGGGCGGCAAGCTGCCAGAGTGAGAGAGAGACGGGGGATAAAGGAGAAGATGAAGGGTTTCTTTTATCCGAGGTGAAAAAAAATTTACGCGTGGCACACAATAAATAAAAGGAATCTTTATCTGACGTTAAATTCCAGGACGGTAGATAATTTCTCTAACTTAGTAAGTAGGGCAGCCCACTTTTAGTGATTTTTTGACAAATATTATTAATCAATCAAAAAGAAATGGGGGGTTGGTTAACCAGCCTTACCCAAATGAGGGGACAAAGGAGCCTAAAACACCTGAAACCAAGAAACAAAACTAACCTGGTCCATAACATGCCAACAAGCTACTTTAACAGGTAAAAACACTCAATGTTCTTTATGCTCGCATGCCTTTGCTGCCAATCTATCAACTACCATATTCTGCTCTACAAACACATGGGAAATACCATTATGTCCTAGCAAAAATAAACACCTACGAATGGGTATGAATAAACTCCAAACATCGCCCGAAAGAAAGTCCACAAACTGACTACCATATCCAACTCTAAGAATAGATGATCAAAGGTTTTTGCCGTTGACATAGTGCAAATTACACATAGAACTATAGGAATATGTAGACATTGAATGCGGGAATCCATTGTTATGGTCCTCAGCATCCATTTCCAAATAAAGCCTACAACCTTTGAAGAGATACAAGGTAACCATATTTCCCTGGCCCACGGCACCAAGTTATGATTCGTATGAGTGAACTCCCAATATGCTTTTACCAAAAATTTCTCCATTGGCATGAGTTTACAAATCAACCGATCCTCCTCGGACTCATGCAAGACAATGCCCCTAATTTGTTCATGATATTGAACCAGAATACTAAGCAGTAACTCCTCTAACAAAGGAAGGCCATCTTTAACTAGAAGGGTTGTGAGTACAGTTAATGGGGCTGGTAATACTACACCACACTAGTTAGCATACCAAATGATATATTGCCTCTCCCCTCCAGCAAGATACTACACTTAGTAAGCATCGGGATATGCTTACTTACCGCTTTCCAAGTAAGGGATGAACCCGCCATTGTAGAAGCGGAAACTCCATACTCTGCTTGAATAAACTTAGCCCATAAACTTTTTCCTTACATGTAAGACAATGCTAATTTAGCTTACACAACGTACATAACCTCATAAATAGGGGTGAGAAAAAATTCGATTTTAACTCAAAAATCGAACCAAATCGAATCGAATTATCCATTTTGATTCAGTTTTGAAATAAAATGTTATTAAAAAAACCAAATTGAAAAACCAAAATTATTTTGGTTTGATTCTTGAAAATTTTAATTCGGTTTAAAACCGAAAACCAATTTTTTAATATATATATATATAAAATAAAACAAAAAGTTTTTAAAACCCTCACAGCCTCGCACAAGAAGTCACACACTCTCTCATCCCTAACCTTAACCAAGCTAGCCGCCGCACACCCCACTTCCTCACCACCCTGCCTTCAACTTTAGCTCTTCAAGCATCCCTTTGTCAGCGTCAGCACAACCCTTTCCCTTAACTTGTCTTCATTCTCCTAGGCTTCTTTTACTCTTCCTCCTTTCCTCCTCACCACCCATTGCCCACCTTTATGTCCTCCTCCTACTACTCTTGCATTATGAGGGACCCAACAGTGCCTCTAGTGCCTATTTGTACAGGGTTTTGTGCAGCCATGTCTTCGGAGACTCTTGTGGCAATGGTGCTGGATTTATGCATGTTGTGTTTGTTCCGTTGAAGGAGGCTTGCAGATGAAGAGAGTTGGTTGATGGTCTTTGTCTTAGTGGGTAAATTGCTTTGAGATAATGATGGCATCTAGTGACTGGCCTTATACTCAGTGTTTTCAATTGAATTCTTTACCTCACGTTCTTTATCTAAAGAGAACTGCATTAGATTTTATAGATTAGATGGTGACCTTGTCATTGTATTCATGTGCTTGCAGTTAAAAACATTTAATTTGCTAACCATTGTAACTCTCTTTTTTGACTATTTGACTCCTTCCTTCACATATTGATCTTTGCATGTTCTGATTGACAATGAACCCACTTTCAGTTTGTTGTTGCAGCCAGCAAGTGAAGCAGGTGAGACGGGAAATGGCCCAGCCCACAAGCTCAAAATTAAAAAGCCTCTGCTCAAAGGCCCAGAACACAAAAAATTAATAATTTCGATTTAAACAGAAAAAAACTAAAATCAAAATCGAAATTTTAATTTTTTAACTGAAAAACCAAATTTAAATTCGGTTCGATTTTAATTTTTGTTTTTGATAATTTGGTTAATAAAAAATTAAGCTGAAATTCCTAGAAATCGAACAAAAAAGCCGTTTCCTCACCCCTACTCGTAAAGGTGGCAGGATTCCGAAGCCTCCCTCTTGCATGGGCTAGCAAACCTTATGCCAAGCCACCTAATGATGCAGAAACTCACCTAAGCCACTCCATAAAAATCAGCCATAATAATTTCTAAACTCTGAATTGAATTCTTTGGAATTGGAATAGCAGTAAGGGTATGGATTGGAATACTACCGATCATCGACTTTAATAAGATAATTTGTGTGCCTAACAAAAGAAACTTTGTTTTCCATCTCCCAATACGGGCTGCTATCTTTCTCTCAATATGATGAAAATACACTTTCTTCAACCTACCATAGAAAAGAGGACCCCTAAATTTGACAAAGGAAAGTTCTACTAGCCATATCCTGTCCATAATTGAACGTGTTCTATCCTCTCCACCATAATATGCTTTGAAACATAAAATCTGCTTTTAGACAGATTCAAAAACTAGCTTGGATACTCCTCATACTTATTAAATAATTACTGAAGGTACTCTAGTGACCTCTTAATTCCATTAGTGAACAAGTGCATGTCATATGCATAAAACAAATGAGACACAAATAAGGCACTTCTACCAGCCCCATACGACAGACAATAACCACCCTGTATGTCTTTATTAATCTTAAATGAAAGCACTTGCTAAATCAAGATAAAAAAAAACATTAGAGAAAGCAGATCTTCTTGTCTAACACCCCT